AAAGTTGTGTATGCTTTTGATTTATTCTATTACTAATGTTAATTTGAAAAGAATAACTTCCAGATTCATGAAATTGCCATTCACTATATTGGTAATTACTAAGTATTTTATGAGGCTGCACTTTGAGATGCCTGGGGGTCCAGTCCAAGGCCTATGCATGCTAGGCAAGTGCTTTACCACTGAGGTACATTCCCAGCATAAATGTTATCAAAGCCTCTGCTTATTCACTTATTTGTCAATGTGGACTTGGGGTTTTCTAATTTATTCAGTGGATTACAAACTGATGTGTAAGCTGAGCCTCATGGCACACAATCCCAGAATTTGGTAGGCTGAGGCAGGAGGATCGCATCAAGTTTGAGGCCAGCCTAGTTTACAATGTGAATTCAAGGCTAGCCTGAATTGCGTAGTGAAACCTTGTCTCAAAAAGAGAAAAAAAAGTTGACATTGTGTAATTTGTTCCTACATTGCCCCACATATAGCCAGTGAGTTGCCTTTCAAGCTACTATTTTGTGTCTTCATCATTCTTTGAATACTAGACACTGTTGCACTTTTCTTAGTGTTTAGTGAGCAGTTTCACCAAGGAGACCTGGTTCCTTTTAGTGAGGAATGTTACATAGATTTGGGTGCCAAATGGACTCAATATTGGTAAGAAGTCACTGCTCTCCGACTTCATTGGTAGATAGTTAAACATTTTTGTTTGTTTTTGCAGTGCTATGGATTGAACTCAAGATCGCACACATGCTAGGGAAGTATTCTGTCCTAAGCCTCACTCTCAGCCAGTTTTACAAAATTTGTTTTGTAACAAGGCCTTGCCGAGCTGCTCAGGCTGGCAAACTTCTGATTTTTTTTAGACTTTTTTTTTTTCGGTACTGGGGAATGAACTCAGGACCTTGTACTTGCCAGGCAAATGTTTATTCTACTGGACTATCTCCCTAACCCTCAACCTTCTGATCTTTCTGCCTCAGCCTTCTATGTAGCTAGCCTTACAAATGTGTAGTCATGATTTGCTTCAGAGCTATACATACTGTCTTTCTTTTTTAGACGTGGTCTTGATGTGTAGTTTAGGCTGGCGTTGAACTCACTATGTACTCTAGGCTGGTCTCAAACTTGTGGCAAGCCTTCTGCCTCAGCCTCCAAATGCTGAGATTACCATACTGTTCTACCATGCCCGGCCCCTCCCATGTTGATATCTTCATCCTGCTTCAGTTTGACACCTTATACTGGACTGTCTCTCAGAATACCTTTTTTAAAAAATGTATTTAGTACAAGGTCTGTAGGATCTATAGGTCTTACTATGTAGGTCGGACTTGTAGTGATTCTCCTGTTTTCAGCCTTCCAAGTGCTAGAATTATAGGCGTGCGCCACTACACTCAGTCTTGATTGCTGTCTTCAGCGTGCGGGATACCTTTCTTTTTAAACTCAGGTCCTTCACACTGAGCTACATTGCAGTTCTTTTTTTTTTTTTAATTTATTTTGAGTTAGGTCTTCCTAAGTTGCTGAAATGTTCAGAATGGACTTGAATTTGAGGTCCTCCTGTCTCAGCTTCCAGAGTGTGGGAATTACAAGTGTGTACTACCACACCCCAGTGGGGATTTCCCACTTTGGCACTCAAGCTTCCCTGGGTAATACTGTGTGACTAACCATCACTCCCTGTGTGATCACCCTCTTCTTTATTAAAGGTGAGCTCTGAACGTACTCTGGGCCACATGACTCCCACCCAAAACAGCCTTACTGTATGGACTAAATGTATTGCTCAAAAAAGGAAGTGGGAGACAGGCATGGTGGTACACACCTGTAATCCCACCCCTCTGGGGAGCTGAGGCTGAAGGGTCACAAATTTGAGCCTCTCTTGGGCAACTTAGTGAGACCCTATCTCGTTGTTTGTTTGTTTTTGATACTGGGGATCAGACTCAGAACTTTGGGCTTGCCAGGCAGGTGCTTATGCCACTGAGCTATCTCCCCGGCCCTGTGAGACCCTATCTAAAAAAAAAAAAAGGGTATATAGCTAAGTGGAAGGCTCTGCCTGGGTTCAGTCGGTTTCAGTCCTTATTCAGCTGGCTCCAAGGCAGAGTGGCACATGGCAGAGAGCAACCTTTCATGGTGTCGGCAAAGAGCAAGAGCACAGGGGAGGAGGAGCAGCAGCTCAGGCTGCTAGCTTCTTTTCCCACCTTACATTGTAATGCACATTACCTGCTCCAGGGCAGGTGCGTCATCCACACCTACAGTAATCAATCACAAACTTTAGAAGCTGCCCCAAGACTGAGGTTTTTGGGGGGACACCTAGACACAAACCATAACCACTTTATTTCTTTCTTTCTTTCTTTCTTTATTTATTTATTTATTTTAGATTCTCCCTTTCTTTCCTTCTGGGTATCAACCTGGGAACACTATCACTGAGCTACATCCTCAGCTGTTTTTTTATTTTGAGTCTTGCTAGATTGCCCAGGGAAGACTCAAATTTGCTGTCCTTCTGCCTCAGTCTCCCTGACATTTGGTGTGGGTGTTTTTAAAATTTTTCTTCAGTGTATTTAGTACAGGGTCTTACTACACAGATCCGACTTTTAGCCTCCCAAGTTCTGGGATTACAGGCGCACCACCATGCCCAGTCTCATTCCTCTCAGTACGCTCTGCGGGTGGGGCTGACATGGCATGCCTGGGATCAAACCCCTTGCTCTGCCTAGGCAGGTGCTTTAGTCCACTGAGCTATCTGGTGGACATGGTGTGGGTTTTTTTTTCTTTTTGGTACTGGTGATTGAATTTAGGACCTTATACTACAAGGAAGGTGCTTATGTTGCTGAGCTGTATCCCTGGCTCTTGTGTTTTGTTTTAGACATGGTCTTGCTACATAGTTCAGGCTAGCTTTGAAAATTCGTGATCCTCCTGCCTCAGTGTTCTAATCATTAGGGTTATAGACTTGTAGCATCTTGCTGCCTTACTGGAATTTCTTTCTTTTTTTTTTTTTCCCCATGGTACCAGGGATTGAACTCAGGATCTTATGCTCGCCAGGCAAGC